ATAATAATAATAATAATAAATGTTTCTTGAACAGCAAATCAGCATATTAGAATGATTTCTGAAGGATCATGTGACACAGAAGACTAGCGTAATGATGCTGAAAATGTAGTTTTCATTTCAGAATTAATTTCATTTTAAAATATATTCAAATAGAAAGCCGTTGTTTTAAATAGTAAAAATATTTCACAATATTACAATGCTGATCTTTGGATCTTTCTATTCATCAAAGAATCCTGAAAAAAAATTTACTCAACTGTTTTAAATATTGATGATAATAATAATAATAATAATAATAATAAATGTTTCTTGAACAGCAAATCAGCATATTAGAATGATTTCTGAAGGATCATGTGACAGAAGACTAGCGTAATGATGCTGAAAATGTAGTTTTCATTTCAGAATTAATTTCATTTTAAAATATATTCAAATAGAAAGCCGTTGTTTTTAATAGTAAAAATATTTCACAATATTACTACTTTTGCTTTATTTTGGATCAAATAAATGCAGGCTTGGTGAGCAGAAGAGAATTCTTTAAAAAACATAAAAAATACAGTATTTCTTTTTTACTGTTCTTACTGTTCAAAAACTTTTGACTGGTATTGTGTGCAGGTGGGGGAAAAATCTTAAAATATTACAATAATATCATAGCCTAACATGTTTGCATCCAGTCAAATTCCTGCCTTACATAATGTTTCACCTGAATACACTAAGAAGATGCATTGTGTTGTGAATGCTCTTTTCATGTTGTCTTTAACACGGTTTCAAAAACCCTTTCATTTTCTCATAGCTGCACGAGGTTGTCTGTATGTAAATGCAAAGTCATTTTTAGTATATCTTTGGCTTTTAAAATCATGTAATGTGTATACAGTCATTCACAGCTACAAATCCCAAGGGCATCGAAATGTGGCTTGAAATGATCCGACACTTTCCGAACCTACGGCTGTGCGGAGAGCTGCGCTTTATCATCTGAAGTAATATTCGGCTCTGGTGAATACATGAATACATTTTCACTGAGTAAATTTACAGCTCGCCGTTCACAAATCAGTCCTCATCTGTGCCGTAGCCACTTATGAAAAACATCCCGGTCTCGTCCATCTACACTTCCCCACCTCCCTCGCCGGTTCTCTCGCACCTGGTCTGTCTCAATCCTGCTGTCAGAGAGGCGGACAGGCCATCAGTACCAGACCCACCTGCTGGGAGCCAAGAGGCCTGACTTTACTTCTCATCACTCAGAGAGAGAGAAGAACAGCTATTAGCAAACTTTCTCACTCTCTCCAGTCCATTAGCGATCCAGATTAAAGTCGGCTATAAACTGTCAGTCACGTTTCACAAGGTACTCCAACACGCCGCTGAAATTAACACCGTTAACAGTTCTATTTAGGGGTTCGTGTTTAGAGGACTATAGTTTTCACGATGTGATAACTACACCCCCAAACCTCCTATCGAGTTTCATTGTAGGGCTTGTTGAATTGGTCGTTTGCCAGATCGATCAAATCCTGTGTGAAAATTGTGCAGTTAAGGGTACTTTCACCATCAATTACTGGGTTTTTGCCAGACTCCAATGGTTTGTTTTGTGAAATGAACCTTTTTGACAAAGCGCTCAGTGTTTCCACTGATTTTACTAGAAAAACATTTCTGTCCCTGCATTCTCTCTCTGCTTTTCTTCTTGTTCCAAGTTCGTGAAAATGGCTCAGATTTAATTGTTGTTATAGGGGGAGTTGTTCTCCCAAAGGAATCACTTCAGAGCATGTCCAAAGAGCTGTCACATGATTAGAAACAATAGGCCCGCATGGATCATGCCAATAATTAGTGACTGTTTCCATTGTGATTCAGCTACAGGGAGGACGACTCATCAGAACACTATAATTTATCCTTTTCTCTATTCAAACCCTGTTTACTCTCCGTAATAACACAAGACGTGGTTGTTGCAGCTAAAATAAATATAATTTGAATTAATTCACCAGAGCAGTGCTTACCAATTTCTGTATTTTTCCTCATTATGCTTTTTGGGGTTTAGATTATTACTTGAATATGCATATATACAAATTGTATTTAAGTTATGCAGTATATCGGTTCATGTGTGTTCTGTGAATAGAGCTCGTGACTATGGCATTGCTAGTGCTATGTTATATTGCTTAGGCTACTGTACTTTTTCAAAGCCTCAAAAGGCATTTGGACACTTCATTCACACTTAAAGGGATAGTTCACCCAAAAATGAACATTCTGTCATTAATTACTCACCCCCATGTCATTCCAAACCTGTAAAACCTTCTTTAATCTTCGGAACAATCCGAGAGCTTTCTGACCCTGCATAGACAGCAACACAACTGACACATTCAAGGCCCAGAAAGGTAGTAAGGACATCATTAAAATAGTCTGTCGTAAACACGCATTGAAGTCTGAAACAGAACAGAAGAAAATGTTGAATAAAGTCGTTATTTTTGTTTTCAAAACGTATTCTTGTTTCTTCATAACATTACGGTTGAATCACTGATGTCGCATGGACTATTTTAATGATGTCCTTACTACTTTTCTGGGCTTTGAACGTGTCAGTTGTGTTGCTGTCTATGCAGGTCTTACAGGTTTGGAACATGATGGAGAGTAATTAATGACAGAATTTACATTTCTGGGTGAACTATCCCTTTAAATTTGTAAGAATGTAATCAGATATCAAAATATCGAATCCAGTATCATTCATTTCAAAACAATCAATCAATCAATTGATCAATTTATATTGATTGATTGATTGTTTTATATATACATAATAAATATACACAGTACACACACATTTATTATGTAAACAAAAACGCTTATTTTGGATGTGATTAATCATGATTAATCGTTTGACAGCACTAATTTAAACAAAATAGGGGTTGAAATTGGCACTATTTTTTTTAATTAGCATTTATATAGCTTAGGGTGGATGCAGTACATGCAGTCCAGCACTAGGAGACACCTATGAGTCTGTAGACCATACCTGACTGAATGTCCCAGAGCCAATGAAAACATACCACATCAGAGACAAGGGCCAGTTTTATTTTCACTTGGATTTTCAGTATCCCTTCTAGATGAGCTTCTCAGGTGACTATATGAACCATAAACACAAGTCATTACAGGCTCTGCCAACTACTTGAACCACAAACTTCTGGCTTGGCTTCTGTGTGAGTGCAGATTACCACAGATTTCCCCAACAACCTCAAACCTCAGGCACTCTGTTGCCAAGCAACCAGGCAAAAGCACCACCGTTAATAGTGTTAGACCCAGAGAACTTCTGTTTAAGTTCAACATCATAAATAGCCCTACTGCATGTTTTCACCTTATTAAACGTGGATGGAGCGAGCGGCCAGAGCTCTGAAGATCCTGCAATGTTAGTGTAAGTTCAACAGGAGGTGCTGTGCTGCTCTATAATGAGAAATCTATCTTTGCATCTCATAGAGACTGAATAAAATGTTTTAGCATGCATTCCATATGTGATCCCCCTGTCATACTGTGAAGTTTCATGAATGCATAAGGGAAATAAGAAAGCATACTTTTTTTGTTGTATCACAAAGACCTTTTTTCATGTATAATACCTTTAAAAAATGCATTTAAAATTGATTTTGTGCTACTCAGAGCCATGCC